AAGAGGCGGCGGCACTGGACAAGGCAGAGGCGGCGCTGTGGCAGTCGGGGGTGGGCCGCCAAAGAGAGGCGGAGAGCCGCCTGTGCGGGAATTGCCATGAGCCGGAGGTCCTTCTACTTGAGTACAGTAAGTCATGTCGTGCGACGAGACAGATGGGCGAGCAACAGATTTGATGAGCTGCTTAAATCTATTGGTCCATGAGGAAATATTGCCTTGGAGCTCACCCGAGGTCTGTGACAGGGAACCCGTCGAGAAAGAAAAAGGCACAGTCCAAGGATTTTGGGAGAACATCTTGACGGGACGATGTGAAAGAGAGAGAGATGGATGGGGGAAGGGAAGACAAGCCAACCACCCGAGATCGGGCGGCTAGCCGCCGGCGACGACGGACGCCGGCAAGGACTAACTGGGGGAGGTGGTCGGGAAGAAGAAAGGAGGGGCTGGGTGGAGAAGATGGGTGGGGTTTTTAGAGAGAGAGTTAGAGAGATGTGAGAGCATTTGTACACTTTAACTGCCCATCCAGTATCAGAATGAAACCCGTTAACTTACCTTCAAAATTTTACTAGCATAAGATCTGCGATTATTTGCAATATTTAGTTTGCACATTAAATAAAATTTCTATGTTAAATATATCGGACCGAAATTTTCGTAGAAAATGTTAGTTCATATTTAACTTGAGTCAATCATACCAAAAATTATCTTACACATTTACTATCATAGAATTTACGAATATATCTCGCATAGAATTTTAAATATATGATAAAGTTTTTACCAAAATAATTATTTTATGGAATAACATTGTAGTCAAATCGAATTTATGAATAAATATTTTAAAATGAACTTTATTTTGAAATGATTATAATGTATTTTTATGATTACTTACGTGCACCATGAGAGTTGTGTATTAGTTTTAGATTGACATGTTTTATGTAATTTAGCACCACATAAAATTCATGTAACATTTTCAATAAATTAATATAGGTAAATTGTATTACATATGGATTCAATATTTTTAATTCCTAAATACTATTTAATAAATATTTTAATTTATAAATATTAATGAATATCTCTATCGCATGAGATTCATACTAGTAAGTATTATACAAGGATGAATATCTTATGATATTATTTTGGAAAACAAATGGATACAAAAAATAAAATAAAAAAACATCGCGGCTAAGGGCATGCTTGTTTATAAATTATTTTACTCACATCTAATTCATAGTCAAAATCTAATTCAATTTTGACTAAGCTGAAACCCTCGGAGAAAAAAAAACCCCAAATCCCTTCTTCTCGCCTCTTTCAAGCTTCGCGTTGCCTTCCCCAGCGGCAGTGCGGTGCCAGCTGGTGGTCGCGCTCGACCGCCGCCCCGCCTCACCTGTCCCAAGCCTCAGGTGTTGCCGCGGATTGCCTTTGTCGTCGGTCTGGTCTGCCCTAGTTTGCCGGTGTGGTAGCGATTGGATGCGGCGTGCCTCGTTCGGGTCGTTGGTGATGTCCTTAGCCCGAGAATCGCGATTGGAGGTAAGTCTGCCGTCCTTTTCCTCTTCTGGTACTATTTCCAATTTTGTGCGCGAAGAGTGGATCCCTCGGGCGGCTCTGCCTTTCCAGCGAATCTTCGTTCAGAGTTTCTAGTCTGGGTGCCGGTGGTCTGCGAATATATTGGATGGTTTGGGGGTCGAGAAGCGGGGCGGGGCTCTGACAGTGTGTCGGAGTCGAGGGCCTGAACCGCACCCCCCTGTTTCGATTAGTGGTGATAGAAGATGGGGTTCTGGCGCACCGTAGCTCGGCTAGTGGTGTTTGGCGTGTTCGCGCGGTGCTAGAGTGGTTGTGGTTTCGGTGTCCCTGCGGTTGAGGTGGGTCGTTTCGGAGATTGATTTGTGTTCGGGCTCGTCTTCTTGTATAGGTCTTATGGCAATTTCGGGAGTCGTCCCCTGAACTAGGATCTTTTCTCCATTTTGGTCGTTCTCTGCTGGTTAGTGCCGACTGTTTTGCTGTGGAAGGGCCTATTCTATTTAGCTATATTCTATTTAGTTTTTGTGTCTATTTGTTTGAGTCTGTGTTAGCTTAGTTTGCGTTTTCAGTGTTTGGTTTCTTTGTTTTGATCATGTGTTTTTGGTCTGGGCCGTTGGCCTCTGTACTGATTACCCCTTGGGGGCCGTACCTATTCTCTCGTGGGGAGCAATTCTAGTGTTTTGTGTATTTTCCCCGCGGGGAGCGTTTCTAGTATTTTGTGTCGGTAGTGTTTGAGTCTGTTTTATTCTAGCTTGACTAGCTGGTTTCTAGGCCGCTTTTAGCGTGTCCTCTCATTTTCATTTATTCGGAGTCCGTCCGGTCATTGTATTCGATCTTTGATCCCTTTGAGTGGTTATATAATATCCTATCGTTTCGACAAAAAAAAAACTATTTTTAATATTATTTACATAATTAAATAATACAAACTCATCATTTACTATTCAATTACGTACTCACATAAATTTAACTATCAATCATTTCCAATCATTTATCTCTCACTTTTAAATCAAATTAATTTTAATTATTTTATTTCAAATATTATTTTAATATATTTTTAAATCCCATTACAATTAACCATGCCAATTTTTTTTTT